TTGTTGATCTTTTCTAATTGAATCAAAGTTGTCTTGCCCCTCGCCAATAACTGACATGAATCACCAGCATAATTAGTCCTATCGAAAGTATGAAGCGTGCGATATCAGCACTCTGTGTTTTCTCAATTTTTTTATATTTCCTATTCGTTAAATTGGAAGATTTTTGGAACCTTCTTGATATTAAGTTGTCAAGAAGGTAAATTATTACGTAGGTATTAACCATTACCTGCTTCATGCAGAACGAATCGAGTAAAAGACCCATAGATACCAAATCAGTGCTAACATTTGAAAATGGCGCAAAAGCCATTTGTAAACAAATGGTTTGTGGGCCCTTTACTCGCTACCCGAAGAACGCCCACGCAAACCAACAGCATCGTCAGGAAGGGGAAAATTTCCCCTACCCGATGTTCCTGTTGTGTCGCGTGGGTGTACTTCAAGTAGTGAGTAAAGGGCCCACAAACCATTTGTTTACAAATGGCTTTTGTGCCGTTTTCAAATGTTAGCACTGAAATATTCGATTTTCACCAGCGATTGGCGTTGACGGCACCGTCGAAAAATTTGATATTTCAGCAAATATAGACAGTTTCTTATAGAAATTTTCGGTGGAGTGAAAGGATAGTACAAAGTCCGCCATGTTTCACGCACAGTCTGACGTTTGCTTATGGATTTTCTCATAGGAGTAAAGAGCTACAGAGTCGCCGTCAACGCCAATGAAAAATGTAATTCGACAGTGAGCATACATAAGGGCGTAAACGCGATGATCTATTCTCTTCGTCGATTTTCTCTTTTGTTAATAACTCGCTAGAATTAACGTTTCTCGGTGCGTTGGCTGTTGTTTTTGATAGCCAATATAACCTGTTACATCTCTGCATTGAACATATTATAGAAAATTGTTTCACTTAGCTGTAGCAATGCAAAGAGAAAATCGATGAAGAGAATCGATCATCGAGTATACGCCCTTATGCATGCTCACTGTCGAATTAACACATATAGCGAATTCGTTTATGCGAAACCGAACTTTTTGTCAGTGCGAACCTCAACCTGAGCCGAGGTTACCAAGCAGTTTAAAAACAGCTGATGGCTCATCCAGGTAATTTCTGGAAATCGGGAAATACTTTCAAAGTGTTTTTTATGTTACTTCATACGCGAAGTTAACGATTTTCAGAGTTGGTTGGAAATGCTAACATGAAGCTTTAGTGTGATGATTTATTAGCTAGAGAATGATCTTTAGAAGAGGGTAGGTGGATAGTTCCGTTAGAGTACGGCAGTATGAAAATTGAATAGAAGTTGAAAATGAGCGAAGGGCCATTAAAGCGACAGTTTACAAGATAGACGCACATTTTTGCCTAGCCCGTACGATGTACGCGGGGACTTGAAGTATGTCTCCAAGTCCACAACCAACTCTGAAAATCGTTAACTTCGCGTATGAAGTAACATAAAAAACACTTTGAATGTAACAACTCAAGGCGGGAGTAACCGTCAACAATGCTGATGATGGTACAGCACGCAACAACCACCCTACTGCTTTCTCTCTGAGATGATCACGTTGGTCATGACGAGAGGAGCAACACAATAGTTGGGTAAAGAAGAACTGCATTATAACACACCATCGACTGGAAATGCTCTCCCAACGTGGGGCTTTAGGTAGTGATGAAAACGTCGCTAGAACTATTCCACAGCCGCAGTCAGTTTATGAGCAACAAGAGGGACGCACATTTTTGCCTGTGGACTTGGAGACATACTTCAAGTCCCCGCGTACATCGTACGGGCTAGGCAAAAATGTGCGTCTATCTTTGTAAACTGTCGCTTTAATGGCCCTTCGCTCATTTTCAACTTCTATTCAATTTTCATACTGCCGTACTCTAACGGAACTATCCACCTACCCTCTTCTAAAGATCATTCTCTAGCTAATAAATCATCACACTATAAAGCTTCATGTTAGCATTTCCAACCAACTCGGGAAATACTTTTATTCAGTGGAAAATAGGTCCATTAAAATGTTAATTTTTGAACTTCCTGAAATTTCTTTAATCTTCCCTTCGAAGTTTATTCCAACTTTCCCTAGGAATTTCCGTCCACCTTACCTTGTAAATTATTTTCCGATTCCTTTCGGAAAGCTATTTCGACTTCCCTTGGAAGCTTCTTCTGGCTTCGCTCGAAAGGTTCTTCCGTCTTCTCTCGTCAGTTTTTTCAACTTCCCCGGAACTTCAGGAATGCTTCCAGAGTTTTATTGCGATTCCATTAGCTTCAGGAAAACTTCAGAAACTTTTCAGAAGTTCTGAAAGTTCAGAATAGTTCGGACTTTGATTAGGTTCCGATACATTAAAGACAGTTTCATTATCTTCTGTTCAAATTCGAGAACCCGGGAAACTCAGGAAAACCCAGAGAGCTCCAATGAACTTAAGGAAACTGAAATATTTTGAAAACTTCACAAGTCCAAAGAACTTCATAGAAATTTAATGGTTTTCAGGATAGTTCCATTTGTTTCCGGAGAATTGAGTTAATTGAAATCCGAGAAACTCAGGGAATTTTCGAAAACTGCAGTAAAGTTCCGAGAGGTCCATAAAAATTTTGGAAACGTAAGGGATGTTACATGAACATTAGAAAATTGTGAATATATTTTAAGAGAAGTTCTGTGTTTTTTATCGGCAGTTTCGAGAACTTAAAAAAAAATAAAAATGTGGGGGTTCAGAGAACTTTAATGCTTATGTTCATTAATTAAAAAAAAAAAATAAAGTGCTAAACAAGATCCAGGAACTTTTAAAGAAGATAAGAGATTTTCCGGAAGTTTCATAATAATCAGGGAAGTCTCGAGTACTTCAAGAATGATCAGAGAACTTCAAAACAGCCCCATTAACTTTAGAAAAATTGCAAAACTTTCAAGGAGTTCCGAGGAATTATGGGATATTCCAAAGAGCAATTCAGGAATGTTCCGAAAACTTCAGGGATATTTTGGGGGCTTCAGGGATGTTTGCAAGAAAAATTTCTGGATCAATAGAGCATGTGAGGAACTGCAGGGAATATCGTGCTAACATTCCCCAGAAATATATTTCTTCCAGATATTTCCCCATCTTCTTCTTGAAGAATCTTTCGACTATTCCGTAAGGCCTCTGGCGTTTTTCCAGAAGTTTCTTCCAAGCTACCTTAGGAAGTTTCTCCCAGCGTCTCCTGGAAGTTTCTTCCGTCTTCTTCAGCAAGTTCAATTAAAGTTCTACCGGATGTATCTATCGAGTTCTCCCAGAAGTTTCTTTCGTCTTCCTCTGGAAGTTTCTCCATAAGTCAGTCTCCGTGGGATTTTTTTGACTTATTGGGAGGTTTTTCCGACTTTCTCTGAATTCCCCTGGAAATGGCTACTACGGGATTGGCTTCCGATTTCCAAACTTTTCTTGGATTTTTCCGAAAGTTAATAAACATTATTGCCAAGAGTTTCTCAATATTTATGTTGCAAGATCCTCATCGGATATTCTTCCGACATTTCTTAGAACTTCCTTCAAACTTCCTCCACAAGATCTTCTTTATTCTTCCTCTGGAAGGTTTGTCGGTACCATTAAGAGTCAAATTCAAATATTTCCAAGAAATGTCTTCCAACTTACATAGAAAGTACATCTTTCGATTTTAGTCTAACAGTTTGAAAAAAATATAAAATAAATTAAAATAGTCAATACCGATAAATACCGATTTTTTTTATCTTTTGATACCGATAACTATGAAAACAATCTGGCAACGCTGCCATGGATGTCGTCTATGCTTTGAAGCGACAGACGCACTCTGTACGGTTTCGGAGGTTAAATCATCACCAACTTTGGCAACAAAACGGCCCTTTTCAGGGCCAATAAGCTTATTACAGTAAAGAGTTGCAATATAATTTGTCTGTGTCTGTTTGTCCAGAACCACACGCCCCAACGACCATACAAAATGCTTTCAAGAGTTGTAATCTTGTAGCCAAACTTGTAAGCAGGGGTGCAAGTGATTTTGATCGATTCTCTTCATCAACTTTCTCTTTGAAAAAAAATATACTACAAATTTGGTGCGCCTGCAATTCAAAAACGGAAGAGTTAAGATAATAGATGATCGATCAATTAAAAGAACTAAATGCTCTTCACATTTGTTCCGTCCTCTAGTGGTCCTACGGCAAGCTTCCGTTCGGCACAGACCCTTCTACTTTTTTATTACATTAGTAATCCTGGCTGTGTGTGAGGCTGTGGGCAATCTTTTGATATTGTTTAAATACATCCGATAAAATTGTAACATAGGTACAATTCATTATATATTGTTGCTATTCATCCCCCTTTTTTTTACTTTAAATGATCTATATTTCTTGAATTTGTGTGGTTTACATGTATAACTTATCAAGTGACACAGATGCGTCTTTTCACTTTTAGTTCTTTTGAATTTCAATTATTATTAATTACAGTTCCTAGTCCTATCAGGCCTGTTTTAGAGAATGACCACCTTGGTGGGATTGGTTTGTTACTTTCATCTCCCTATCTATCGTATAAAAATGTTCACTTTAAGTCTACTATTGACGACGTTAAGCATCTCCAACTATAAATAGCTTGTAACGCATCCCTCCTTCAAGATAACACGAAGTACCAGGATAGCATCTCACCGAATTGACCAATTTTTCGGCGAAAGAAGAAATGCGTCCTCCATCGTACCAAGAGGCCATGATTTTCACAAGTTCAATGTCTTTGCCCGATCGACGGAGGTCACTCACAATCATCACAAACCACACTCGCACGCGCATCTTGATGATGATGAGACTTCATATCGCAGTTGCCCCTTTTCGACTTGTTCAAGAATAGGGGCGCAAACGGCCAGGAGATATTGCACCACGTGTTTTAATAGGTCCACTCTGCTGCGTGATAGCGTGTGACAGAAAGGATTCGTTGGTGTGTGTGTCCAAATTATCTACGCAGGATATTGGGTTAATAAAATTGATAAGCTATTGAACATCGTTTTCAGGCAATGACCCAAATGATTCAGTTTTGAATCGAGCATCACACAATGAAGACCCGCCTATTCGCATTCACCTTACTGCTACTTGGCTCAAGTACCATCCTTGTGGAAGCAATATCCAGAGGAACAGAGAAAATCATTACCGATGATGGTTATACGGTCGAAAAGCACCAAGTGGTAACATCCGATGGCTACGTACTGTCACTGTTTAGAATTCCTGGCTACCGAACCACACCCGTGTTCCTACAGCATGGTTTACTATGCTCGTCGGCAGATTGGGTGATTTTGGGACCGGGGAGATCCCTGGCCTACTTGCTAGCTGATGCCGGCTATGACGTTTGGCTAGGGAATGCTCGTGGGAACACCAATTCTCGGCAGCATGTGACAATGGATCCGAAGAAGGCCAAGTTCTGGGACTTCAGTTGGCACGAAATTGGTCTCCTCGATCTGCCTGCCATGATCGATTACGTTCTGGAGAAGACCGGTCAGCAGTCGCTCCACTACGCAGGACATTCTCAAGGGACTACGTCGTTTTTCGTAATGGCGTCGTTGAGACCGGAGTACAACGGGAAGATTCGTTCGATGCACGCACTGGCTCCGGTCGCCTTCATGGGTCATCTGCGATCGCCTTTCATACGAGCTTTTGCGCCCTTTGCCAATCAGATTGAGGTGAGTTAACACGGAGTTATTTATGAAGTTCGATGTTTTCTCATCTAATTTTGAGGATTTTAGTGGACGATGGGCATGCTGGGAGTTACGGAGTTCCTGCCAAGTAATAAAATGATGGCCCTAGGCGGTCAAAAGGCTTGTGAAGACTCATCAGTGCTGCAGGAAGCCTGCGTCAATGCACTCTTTCTCGTCTCTGGATACGATTCGGCTCAGACGAACCGGACGATGCTTCCGGCCATTCTGGAGAACACCCCAGCGGGTGCTTCGGTGAAACAGTTCATTCACTTCGCCCAGGGAATCAACAGTGGCCGATTTCGACAGTACGATCTCGGTATCGTGCGCAATTTGATGGAGTATGGATCCGTCTCTCCACCGAGCTATCCGCTGAACCGGATATCGGCACCGGTGTTCCTGCACTACGGAGATAACGATTGGCTAGCATCGGTTACGGATGTTGGGCTCCTGCATCAACAGCTGGGGGACTCTGCTCAGTTGCTTCGGGTTCCGGATAACCGGTGGAACCATCTGGATTTTACGTATGGAAATGATGCGAAACATTTACTGTACGATCGAATCATAGAACTTATGGGTCAACACGAATGAAGGCACATTTATTGCGATTAATTAATTAACACTGTGTGTGCTTCTGGCGAACGGAAGGGAAGGAGTTTATGTACATACCTACACACAGCGACGTTTTTTTCTCCAGCCTCTTGTTGTTGTATACAGACGGAAAGAAACCCCTTGGTGCGATTTTCTTCTCCTGGATTTTCCCCTTTTTCTCATTTATCTTCCGTCGTCCTGGGATTGGGATGAATCGAAGTAGGCACTGGACGAGTTTTTCGAATACTTTGCTTTGTAACTAAGCAACGAAATGCAATAAATGAATGCAGAGGAAAAGTTGTGGGTGGAGGTTTAATGAGTGACTCGCGGACTGCCTTCTGAGTGCGTGCTCGCCTGGTTCGTTCCAGAATTGATGGGTAAATCACATAGCAGGCGGTGACGATGGGTTTCTATCAGATTAAGGTAATTTTGAAAATCAGTTACTGTCTTTCTGTTCATTACAGATAACTGATTTACTCGTTTATGATTTTTTACCAGTCACAATAGTTGAGAATCCAACTGTAACTACACAAATCCATTAGATACTCTAAAAGACTTTTGGTCTGTTTCTGTGCTTGCTTATTTCATTTTTCTGTAGGTTGTTCAACTGAAAGAGTCAAATCAATTTTTAAGCTTTATTGTATTCATAAAATCAAATATTAACTCAAGCTGAACATTGCATTAGGTCGAAGACAACAACACAACGCTATGAGACAGGTACAATCGCCTCATCTGCCGCTCAAAGGTAAATGCTTCGAACGAATTTGATAGCAAAGATTACATCCTCAGAAGAAAGGTTTGTGTATTTGCTCATTTTTCTATGCGTTGCTTCCACCTTCAGTCAAGCGCAGCGCTATTGTATCTGTCGCTTGGATTCTGGCAAAGTTGCCAGTCTTCTTGATATGATGTCTTTGATTAGGTTTTAAGTAACATTGATCGATTCTCTTCGTCGACTTTCTCTTTAGTTAATAACTTGACCACATAACCGTGTCTTGTTGTGTTTGTCGTAGATTTGTCGTGCTAGATAAAAGCTTCTTTTATTGATCTGTGTGCTGAAAATACCTGGGATTGTCTTTATATGGCCGTGGGGATACAAAGAGAAAGTCGACGAAGAGAATCTGTCAATGTTACTTAGGACCTAATGCAATGTTGAGCTTAAACTACAGAATTTAACATCTAATTGTTATGAGTATTCATCACAAACATTTTGGAGACATGAATATAACAAATTATAATTACTACATATGAAGCTAAACAAATAATTTAATTTAGTCCAATTAGACCCTTCAGAGCTCCTGCTGGCTACGCGTCAGCTTCATCATCGCTAAATTAAAGATTTCTTCAAATTCTGCCTGATTTTTTTTATATTTAAATGAATCTGAAAAAGTCCCGTTTGAAAACTCAGTGGTCACTATCGTTACCTTTCCTTGTGAGATCTCAGCAAAAACACAGAGAACAGACGTTCAACTTCGGTTATAAACTTGTGCAAAGATAAGTGGGAACATCGCCGTTACGTGGCGCTAGCATCTCCTGATTTCCTTTATAAATTTTCCACTTTCGATCAATTTGGTGCTAGAATCGATAAATTGTCTGTTGAAAATTGCCACTTGGCGCTACCAGCACTTAGTGTGTAGTGTAAATTGTGCAACACCAGCGCCATCAGCTGGTGAAAGAGGGTTTTTTAAGTGGGGAAGTTGCCGTTAGTGGCACAGCCGAATAAGAATCTTTACCAAGTCACTCAGCACATTGCGCCGCAATTAGATTAGGTACAACTTGGGTACATCCAACGGCACACCTTCGGCACAATCTCGTAGGCATTTGATTGTTGTAAATAAAGGCCTGTATAGAGATCGAAGCGAAGCGAAAACCTCATACAAAATACTAAATTTTTCACCTGCGCGAAAAACGCAATTGGCAATTTTTTCACTTCGCAGTGAACTGTAAACAGATACGATCCAGCGAAATCTAATTTTGTGGATCGTATCTTTTTCGCTTACGTTTATTTTTTTCGCGGATGCAGCGCTAGCGAAAAAAGCAGCAGCTAAGCGAAAAGTTGACGTTTCGAGAAAGAGCGTATCTGTCAGATTTTCACTTCACCGGAGGTGTAAACTGATCGATTTCGTTTCACATGAACTGTAAACTGTAAACCTTTGGAAAATGTTCCACAAACATTTTTTCACAACCTTTTTCGCTAGCGAAATTTCAAGATTTTCCGCGTTCTTCAATTTTTGTTTCGCTTCGATCTGTATACTAGGCTTAAAATAGGAGCACTGCTGGTCACTGAAGTTGTTTACAACATTACGTGCTGTTAGGCTGTATATTCACCAAAATCCTCTAATTAAATATACCAGAGGAACTCAGACCAGCAGTTCACTTGTCGGTTCACTTATAGAATTAAATCCGAAATGCCGCAACATCGATTTACCCGTGCGATTTCAAACCAAAACCACAGACAAACAGACGTAACACTTCATTGTGTATCTTCGTTCACGCATTTAACGGTTGATTTGAATATTATCAGTTCCGCGAACTACTCGCCGCAGCGCTGGCATCGGATCGCTTTGACGTTTCTATACATTCTATAGAACTTTTATGCAATATTGTTTGCGTGTTAGCGAACAAGCTTGTTTTCCGCGAGAAGCCCAACAGATGTCGTTACTGAGGTCCTATGTTTTTAAAATACTATGTTTTCAAGAAAAACTTTTCAAAGATTTACGTCTGTTTGTCTGTGCCAAAACATTTAAGGTGTCAGAAATACCGGGTTGCCAGGATGGGTATTTTACAAACAAACACAGCTTGCTCTATTCGCCTTGACACCAGTCCCGAAGTGACGTTTCTTCACACACATTTTGACAGTTCCTTATGAGGTTTTGCGTTGGAGTGAGAGAATAAGAAAATGTCCGCCATGTTTCACACATAGACTGACAGTTACATATGAGATTTCTCCATAGGAGTAAAGAGTTACAGAGCTCTCGTCAACGCCAATGACCGGCACAATCGGTACACTAAAAAAAAAGACCCAAGATTGGTGTGCGAAGTGACCTACCCCTTGATCTTTACACTAGTTTTAGAGAAATTGTATTCAAGCCTCGACGTCTGTTCTCTGTGGCAAAAATGACGTTTATTGGCTGAATCTTGGAAAACTCAAAAAAATTTAAATTAGTGTACAGCAGCTCGGTGGTACCAAAATCATCAAGATTCGGCGAAAAAAATCATAGTGTGTAACCGAAGACATCAAATCAAGAAGACTGGCAACTCTGCCGTAATTAATTTTGATATGTTGTCTTCGATGTAACGCTGTAATGAACTCGTCTAAAGCTTTCCTGAATTTCTCTATCTCTGAGAAATACCTAGGCTACTCTGAAATTCCCTGATCCTATGTGAAACCATCTCCTAAGTACATCCTGTTGTATTATGAAGTTCTTCCGGGTATCCTGAATTTTTCTAAAGTTTCCCTAGCTTCCTATAAATTTAACATTAACTTGTATGAAGTAGCGTTAATTCTTTCAGCGGTTTTATAGACCACTCTGAGTTCCTTGAGCTACAATATGTTCACAATACTTCTCTGAAAAGTGCTGAATTTCTGAGAAGACAGCTGAACTTCTTTAGAGAGGTCAAAGTTTGGACCAACAACAAGTTCGCGCGTGTATTCTATGCGATTTTTCCATGTTTTTCCGCTAGGTTCCGTTCAATTTTGGTCGTGAAGTGTTCTCCCACGTGTGCTGCTACAAAAAGCTCACCTCAATGTGGATCCAGGTCATATAAATTATAAATCTGAATGCTTACGAAAAAAATCTTGTCAACGGGAACAGCAGCACGAGGAGATAGATTGTTGTGTACATAGCAGAATCAGTCTCTTTCGGTAGATCTGATATTTCATCGCTGCAGTATCAAACCAACAATCAATACGAAACTAACGATTTTAAATTGGCTCACTACTTGACTAGCCTATTGGTCCCAAGCAAACGATTAACGTAGCCCATCCTAGTTGAAATTCTAGTACTACGCAATGTTTGTTTTGATTCGCTATGAAAGTTTGACAGATAAAATGAGGGGTTATTGGTTTTTCCTATGTTTCAAGGGGTGAATCGATTAGCTTGGGACCAGAGCTGAGCCAAAAAGTTGAGCTCGTTTCTTCGGGACCTTCTGGTCTTAGAGTTACCTCTATGATCAAACATCGCACGTATTAGAGCATCTCCACCATAGACCTGTGCACGGGTGAACTTTAGTTCATCTACTGAAATTTTTTTGACGCAACAGCGGGGCCCTGTTTACTAAAAATGAACACATGAATAATGCTCACGTAATATTTGAAAAGGGCCTGATATTCATTGAATTTCTCCGAAGTTCACTAAAGTTTTCAGTTCAGTTCAGACCTTTCCATTGTTTTCGTTTCTGAGACGTTAAATATTTACATGAGAAAAAATGTTTTCTCATCGCTTCATTTATCGACAGCTGACAGCTGATAAAGGTTTGTTTGTTTCTGTTATATTCGCAACCTTCACTTTTGCAAAAACTTTTTCCCCTATTTATATTGGCCGGCAAAACTGCGGTATAGCAAAGTTTCGTGGTCTTTCTTAACGGGGGAAAATGCCAAGAAAAACCAGGACATTATGTACACAGAACAGAATAGGTACAGCTTTGTTTATGTACCGAAAGAGCACGAAACTAATTAGCCGGAGTGGGAGTCCTGCCAAGATAAGATCGCTGGGACAGTTCCATCTCTTTCTTCGTTTATTCGCTGCTATACCTTCTCCCTCCCGGGAAAACACCGAAGAAAAATAAGCAAGTCAACCCCCTTTCCCTGGAAAGATTCAAGACCACGCTAGGTTAGGCAAACAATTAGTTTCCGTTTGTGTGTCTTTGATGGGTTTTCGGGGGAAACCGTTGGCTTTGCCTCCTCGGTTGCTTCGACTCCTGGGACAATGTCATCCTAATGAGTCGAACGGATCGAATTTCAATCCCACTCCAATCACGTCACCGTCGTTGCCTATTGTGGTGTTAATTTCGTTTTAATTGGCCACCCACCCGGC